CTCCGCTATATCTACCTCCACTCACTTTAAAACTATGCCCCTCATAATAGCTACCTCCACCCTAGGAAAAAGTCTCTCCCTGTCCACTCTATCTATACCTCTATCAAGTCACCTCTCATCATTTGTCGTTCAGAAGAGAAAAGCCCTAGCTCTCTCAACCTTTCCTCGTAAGACCTTCCCTCCATTCCAGGTAACATCCTGGTAAATCTCCTCTGCACCTTTTCCAACACTTCCACATCTTTCCTGTAAGGAGGCGACCAGAACTGGACATAATACTCCAGATGTGGCCGAACCAGGCTTTTGTATAGTTGGAGCACAACTTCATGGCTCTTGAACTCAATCCCTCTATTAATGAAAGCTAACACACCATACGCCTTCTTAACAATTGTATCCACCTGGGTGGCAGCTTTCAGGGAACTGTGGACATGAATCCCAAGATCCCTCTGCTCCTCCACACTGCCAAGAATCTTTCCGTTAACCCTGTATTCTGCTTTCAAATTTGTCCTTCCAAAATGAATCACCTCACACTTTTCAGGGTTAAATTCCATCTGCCACTTCTCAGCCCAGCTCTGCACCATATCAATGTCCCTTTGTAACCTAGAACAGCCCTCTGCGCTATCCACAACTTGACCCACCTTTGTATTGTCCGTGAACTTACTAATCCACCCTTCCACTCCTACATCCAAATCATTTACAAAAATTACAAATAGAAGAGGACACAGAACAGATCCTTGTGGTACACCACTCGTAACTGAGCACCAAGCCGAATATTTTCTGTCCACTACCACCCTTTGTCTTCTAAGAATCAGCCAATTCTGAATCCAATCTGCCATATTTGCTCCTATCCTATGTCTCCTTACTTTCTGCCGTGGGGAACCTTATCAAATGCCTTACTTAAATCCATGTATACCACATCCACTGCTCTACCTTCATCCACGTGTTTGGTCACCTCTTCAAAGAATTCAATAAGGTTTGTGAGGCATGATTTACCCCTCACAAATCCATGCTGACTATCACGACTCAAACTGTGCCTATCCAAGTGATCATAAATCCTATCTCTTAGACAGTGAAGATGAAAAGATCATCGCCAAAGGCCCTGCGATCTCTTCCCTTGCTTCCCATAGAATCCTTGGATAAATCCCATCAGGCCCGGGGGACTTACCTATCTTCAAGTTCCTCAAAATTCCTAGTACATCTTCCTTACTAGCACTCACCTCCTCTATCCTACCAGCCTGTTTCACACTGTCCTCCCCTATATCTAGATCCATCTCACTTGTGAATACCAAAGAAAAGTATTCATTAAGGACCTCTCCTATCTCTTTAGGCTCTGTGCACAAATTCCCTTTACAATCCTTGATCGGCCGTACCCTTTCTCTGGTCATTCTCTTATTCCTCACGCACATGTAAAAAGCCTTGGAGTTTTCCTTGATCCTATCTGCCAAGGTTTTCTCATGCCCCCTTATCGTTCTCCTAAGCCCTTTCCTCAGTTCCTTCCTGGGTAACTTGTATCCCTCTAGAGCCTTTTCCGATCCTTGTTTCCTAAACCTTATATAAGCATCCTTCTTCCACTTAACCAGTCGTTCGACCTCTCTTGAGAACCAAGGTTCCCTCACTCAACTGCATCTTCCCTGCCTGCAAGGGACAAACATATCAAGCACACATAGTATACATTCTTTAAACAATCTCCACATTTCTTTAGTGCTCTTCCCTGACAGCATCTGTTCCCATTTTATGTTACCCAGTTGTTGCCTAACAGAATTATAATTACCCTTCCCCCAATTATAAACCTTACCCTGCTGTATGTACCTATGCTTTTCCATGACTGTTGTAAAAGTAACAGAGTTATGATCGCTACCGTCAAAATGCTCTCCTACCAACAGGTCTAACATTTGGCCAGGGTCATTGCCAAGCACCAACTCCAAAGTGGCCTCTTCTCGTGTTGGTCTATCTACATGCTGTGTCAGGAATCCTTCCTGAACGCCCTGGACAAAATCCGCTCCATCTGAACTATTATAACTAAAAAGTTTCTAATCAATATTCAGAAAGTTGAAGTCACCCAAGACTACAACCCTGTGACTTCTGCACCTTTCCAGTATCTGCCTCCCAATCCGCTCCTCCACTTCTCTGCAACTATTAGGGGGCCTGTAAGAACCCCCCAACAAAGTGACTGCTCCTTTCCTGTTCCTGGCCTCAACCCAAACTGACTCTGTAGACATATCATTCCTGGTACATCAAATGGAGATCTCCCTTCCTGGGCAACAGAGTGATGATGGACTTGCACCAAGAAAGGGACGTCCCTCAGTTGTTACACATTCTCTGGGATCTACTCATAGCTTTCCCCCAAGATTCCCTAGAACTCAATGGTCAGCTCAAGCAGCCCTGTCGACTTGCTCCTGGACAGCTGGTCAAGGGTGTGAGTCAGGTCCTCCAGGGTCAGAGAGGCAACAAGCCTTGCAGAACCCTCCGCACTGACTCATGACAGGTCCTCCCACAGAACCTTGGGAGCTTCCTCGCTGGTCCAATCTGGAGAGAACAGAGCCAAAAGAAGCACCAGACTTGGGCCCTGATGCCCTCCAGATCGAGATGAGGGATCTGTCATCAGCACACAGCACAAGAAACCGCTAGTGGACCCCATGCCTTTTTTCCAGTGAGTAGAAGAAGAGGGAGATATGGTCCGGATCACAGAAGAACCAGGCCTGTGATCTCATGTAGGCACCACTGGACCCAGTGAGATGCAAGTCTTGGAGCATGGTCTTCTTCACCACATGCCTCCCGCAGGACCAGGTCCTCATTGGACTGACTCAGATGTGACTCTAAGTTGAGCACCTCCTTCTCCAACTGCCTGATCCTGATTTCCACCAGATGAGAGTATTGCCCACGTCCCACCAAAGCCTCAAGGAGGGGAGAACCCTGCATTTGCTTCTCCAGCTAGCCCTGAAGTGATGGAATGATTCTCTGAACCACCTTTTCTCCAGCAGCAGGTTCTTAAAAGTGCCAGTGTGCTGTATTGATTCTGGCGCAGAACAGGGTGAGCTTCACCCACACCAGGTGGTGATCTGAGAACTGAACCTGCTGCAGGAAATTAGTCAGAACACAGGAGGTGTACAACCTGGAAATGTAAAGGTGGTCAATTCTAGATGTTCTGACCCCAGGCCTCTCAAAGGTGAAGACAATGGAGTCAGCATAGAGATTCCACCAGACATCTACAAAGCCAAAGGATCTGATCAAGGCCCTCAACTTCTCCACCATGCTGAGCTTGTCCAAGCATCGCCACAGTCCCCCTGTCTTGAGGTTGTAATTGAAATCTCCCAAGAAAAATGACATTTCCCTCATCATTGGAGCTGAAGAGAGCAGACAATTCCTCAAAGAAGCTTGTCTGCCTGGGTGCCGTCTGAAACACGAAGTGAAGTACCATGGTTCCGAATCGAATTGTGAGCTGGAGCATATGGCCAGCATGCTCCGTCACCCTCAAGATCTCTGGCTGAAAAAAATGGGGCTACCAACATAGCCATCCTGCCAGAATTGGAGACTAAGTGACTCATGTAGATATTTTCCTACCACTTCAGGAGCCACATAGTTTCATCTCCTGAAATGGGGTGGATTTCTTGTGGGATGCTCTTTGCAAAGAGCAAAAGGATGTGAAAACTGCTCTTAACCTCTCTGCTGCTGTTGAGACTGGCTGTGGATGAACACTGTTGTCTCGAGTCACCAGTTAATGATTTATTGAGTGGAGGAGGGACATTTATCCACAGCTCCTCCTGAGGACGCTACAGAGGAAGCCTTGGCATCACTGCTTTATATTTCTGTCCACTCCCAGGGCTGTTAAGCGCTATAGGGCAGACAGGAGCAGAAGTGGTAGGAATCCCACTGGTTCAACACCAAGCGGACATTGTCATGGTGACCAAGCATTGCTCATAAAACATCCTAGAGCTCCTCCATGGGGATCAGGGGGACACCAGCCATGAGCACATCTCACACCACCTCATCTCATTCCATGGTGCTCGTGACTGATGTCCCGTCCTCCTCCAGTTCATTGCCTCCAGTCCCCATCCCTCCCCCACATCAAGTGTCAGGGTGGTCTGGGCTCACTGGTTGGACACATATTTGCCTCGACCCCACTCCCCCAGGGTCGACAGCAGGAGGATCCTCTGCAGGGACCTTTGAGTCTTTGATTAAAATGTTAAGAGAGTCGGAACTTCAGACTCTAGACTCCAGTCCTTAGTTAGTATCAGGTTTCAGTCCCTTCAGGCAGTAAAAGGAAAGGCTAGAGGCTCCAGTACTCCAAGGCAGCAGCAGGAATAGATTGCCCACGCTCTTGACCTCAATTAACAGCATTGGTTCCATGCACCAATAGCCAAGTACTACCTCATCTGTGAAACTCATCCTTTTTATATGTCAGCCAGGGCTCCCTGATTGGACCAAATTAAAAGCCCCAATCAGGGAATGCATTCTATGATAGCAAGCTGGCTGACCTCCTGTTCTGAGTCTGTGGACATAGGCTGGTCCTTTTCTTTGGACAGTCTCCTGGCAGCGTGGGCAGGGATGTAGGGTGGGCAGAGTCAGGGACGGGCAGTAGGCAGGGACAGGCAGTGGGCAGGATCAGTGAAGGGCAGTGGGGAGAATGAATGATAGGCAGTGTTCCCGGTAATGTTAATGCTGCTTGATCTGTGGTTCAGTTGAGAAAACATGCACTATCAGAGCCAGAGGAATCAGATCACTGAGCGACAGGTGACTGAAGGAGAAAGTGAATAATTGAGATGTCAATGAAGAAATGATTGGAAATTGAAAGGACCCTCACAAAGCCATCCAAACCAGGAACCATAGAGAACCAAGTTTATCTGGTTAACTGTTATTGGCTCTGTTATTGATTAATTTGGTTCAGTATTTATAGTTGTGCTTCGGTGTTGAGGATCTGGGTTAAGGTTGACCACATCTGCCTGTTAGGTGCAATGTGAATCCTTGATGTTAGTTGTGTAATAAAGGTGTTTTGTATTTTGCAGAACCATTACAAAGAGTCTTTTGTGGAAAATGATCCAGAGGCTCTGACCCATCAACAGGAAGATACCCACTCTGATGCAAAACTGGACCCATGTGTGGCTCCCTTATCCACCTCTCAGAATGGTACAATACCCAGGACACCAGTCTGCCAACTCCTCTAAACCCTCACAATATTTCAAGATGGAACCTTCTTTCTTTCACCGTCATTGATTGAACAACATATCTTAGATAAAATGCTGTTTGGTGTGTGGTAAATTTGAGGATGAATTAAACAACTACTCTTTGATTGACATGCTGGAGATCCCTGATGTGCCCAAATTTTCATGCTCTTCCATTTCACACCTAGAATCACTATTGAAAAGATGTGTTATTTATTGTGTTAATAGAATAGTGGTCAACAATCAGAATGAGGCGCAGTCTTCATCTCCTTCTTTGATTTCTTCCTTGCTAAATCTGAAAACAAGGAGCTCTTGCCTGATACCTACTAACTTCCTGATTTGAAAACAGGGACTGCTGCAAACATTCAGAAGATCGGGCAACATCTATGGAGAGAAAAAAAGAGTTAATGTTTCACTATTAGATGGGATTCTGCCATTGGAAACCATTTACTGAACAATTTGCACTATGCCCAGATTTACTTCAGAAACCAATGACCAAAGTCATTGGCTGGTCTCGCAGGATAATGCATTTGAGTGTGTTAGAAGCTGTATATATAAATATACAGGACCTTAAGGGAGGCAGGAATTTGTACAAATCCAGCAGTTTTTCAAAAAAAAACAGGGTCATGGAAACTGTCAACTCACTGCATTCCCTTACAACATCCTTACAAGGGGTGGCATGGTGGCTCAGTGGCTCAGTGGTTAGCACTGCTGCCTCACAATACCAAAGACCTGGGTTCAATTCCACCCTCGGGTGACTGTCTGTGTGGAGTTTGCACATTGTGTCTGTGCGGGTTTCCTTTGGGTGTTCTGGTTTTCTCCCACAGTCCAAAAATGTGTAGGCTAGGTGGATTGGCCATGGAAAATTACCCATAGTGTTGAGGGATGTGTAGATTAGGTGGGTTAAAGGGGGACAGGTCTGGGTGGGATGCTCTGAGGGTCGGTGTGGATTTGTTGGGCCATACCACCAATTTTTGTGTCACCTGCAAACTTACTGATTGTACCTCCTATATTCAAGGCCAAATCACTAATGTACACAACAAACAGCAAAGGACCCAACACTGAACCTGTGGTACATCTCTGAACAGAGGCTTCCAGTCACATAAACACCCTTTGACCATTACTCTCTGCTGTTGCCACTCAGCTAATTTTGGTTCCAATTTGACAAATTGCTGTGGCTCCCATGTGCTCTGACCTTTTCGACCAGTTTACCATGTGACACTTTTGTCAAAGGTCTTACTGAAGTCCATGCAGACGACATCTAGTGCACTACCCTCATCCACACATCTAGTCACCTCCTTGAAAAATTCTGCCAAACCTGTCAGACATGATCGCTCTCTGATAAGGCCATGCTACTTTTGTTTAATCCGTGCCTCTCCAAGTGGAGATTAATGCTGTCCCACAGACTTTTTCAACAGTTTCCCTAGCATAAATGTGTAAATTAATGTCTGGGTCCCCGTAATCTCCTCCATTGCCTTCCACTGCAGCCTGGTCTACATCTCATCTGGGTCTGGGGATTGATCCACTTTCAAATCTGCAAAATCCATTAATACCTCCTCCACTGGTCTCACAATGACCTTACTCTATCTCCAATTATTCCCTTGCCCCTGATATACATTGAAAACACCTTTGGATTTTCCTTAATGTTATTTGGGAATTTTTTTTTCATGTCACCTCTTTGGTCTCCTAATTATTTTTGTAAGTAACCCTTTGGACTTGCTATACTCCTGTAGAGTTCTGTTGTTTTCAGCCTTGCGTATCTACCATAAATTTCCTTTTTCTTCCCCTCATCTAATCCTGTACATCCCTTAATATATATGGTTCTCTGGACCTCTTGGTTCTACCCTTCACCTTTATGGGAATATGTTGGCCCTACTCTCACTAGTCATAGAGTCAGAGAGATGTACATCACAGGTAATGGCCATTCATCCCATTGCATTTGTGCTTGTCAAAAGCAATTCTAATCCCATTTTCCAGCACTTGGTCTTATGTGCCTTGGCATTGAAAGTGCACATCTAAATACTTCTTAAATGGTTTGAGAGTTTCTGCCTGTATCACCTTTACAGGCAGTGAGTTCCAGATTCCCACTATCCCTTGTGTGAAGTAGTTTTTTCCTCACATCTCCTCTAAACCTTCTGGCCATTACCTTAATTGTATGCCTCCTGGTCATTGATCCCTCTATCAAGGGAAAATATTTCTTCCTATTTACCCTATCTATTCTCTTCATAATTTTATATATCTCAATCATGTCCTCTGTCAATCTCCTCTGCTGTAAGGAAAACAACTCTAGTCTGTCCAATTTGTCTTCATGACTGAAACTCTTCAGCCCAGGCAACATCCTGGTAAATTGCGTCCACATCCTCTCCAGTGCTATCACATCCTTCCTATAATGTGGATTCCAGAACTGCACACAGTACTCTAGCTGTGGCATAACCAATATTTTATACAGTTCCAGCCTAAACCCTTGCTCTTAAATTCAAAGGCAAGTATCCCATATGCCTTCTTAACTATCTTATCCACCCGTCTTGATAACTTAAGGGACCAACATACATGCACACCAAGGTCTCTCTGATCCTCAATGCTTTCCAGCGTCCTACCATTCATCATGGATTCCCTTGCTTTGTTTATCCTGCCCAAGATCATCACCTCACATTTATCTGGACTGAATTCCATTTGCCACTGATCAGTCCATCTATATCGTCTTTTAGTTGAAAACTATCCTCCTCACTATTTACCACCCCACCAACTTTTTGTATCATCTGCAAATTTACCGATCAACCCTGCTGCATTCAAATCTAGATCATTTGTGTCAACTGCAAACAGCAAAGGCCCCAACACTGATACTCGTTGGATCCTATTGGACACAGACTTCCAGCAGGAAAAACACCCCTCAACCATCACCTTCCTGCCCCAAGCCAACTGTGGATACAATTTGCCAAAATTTCCTTGGATGTCACGGGTCTTACCTTTGCTAACAATCTCCCATGCGGGATCTTACCAAAAGCCTTGCTGAAGTCTACGTAGGCTATTACCCTTTGTGAATGATTACCATTGCTCTGATTTGGATTTTCCTGCAAGTAGCTGTTGTCAGTCCACTTTGGCCAGATCATAATTTATCATATTAAAGTCAGCCTTCCATAAGGTCTTTATTTCCAAACAATCTTTGTCCTTCTCGATAACTACCTGAAATGTTTATGAATTACAGTACCATCATCAAAATGATTTCCCTTTGCCACATCTACCACTGGCCCAGATTTGTTCCTTCCTGGACTGCTTCATTATGATAGTAACTCCAAAACACTCTTCCTGGACTGCTTCACCATGATGCTGACTGCAGGACACTCTTCCTGGATAGTTTCTCTGTGATGGTGATGGCAGAACAGTTTTCCTGAACTGCTTTACCCTGATACAGGCTGCGTCACTGTGATGCTGACTGCAGGACACTTTTCCCAGACGCCTCCTGGTACATCTCTGGAAGCGAATACGCACTGGACTTGAGGGCAGTCCAACCTCTTGGTCCTCCAGTTTGACTTAGGGTTTCCATTTCACTACAGCTTTATTAGCTCAGAAGCCGCTGGTCTTTGCCAGTACTGCTTAATCTACATTTTCCTGAAGATTTCTACACACTAAGTTTGTCTCAGCACTGGACAGGGGCTGTCCCTCATCCCTGTTATGTTATCCAACAATACATACACTGAACTGAGCTGTCTGGGATGTCAGAAATTGTTGTACCCACCGGAAAAGAGTTTGGGGTGGCTGATGATATTTGCGTAAGAAAGGAAAGAACAGGTGAGGTATTTTAAAATTGCAAAAGGAACTACCAAGTTGGTTTCACACAACACTATATCTGCTGTTCCTGAGTACACTGGACCACTGTTCCTCTGGAATATTCGGCTGCAAATTGACGTTTAAGAGAAAAGCTCATGGAATACATATTTGCAACCAATTACATATTAAATGCAGAATGCTGAACAAATTGATAAAACAGGAAACTTCAAAATATGTGGGGAATGACTTCTTGGGGTATCACACGGTACTGAAGTACAAATAAAATACGATGAAAGAATGGGAGGTAGTAAATGCCCAGGTATTATACAGGAAGCCGCAATAGGACGGGGTTGGTGAGGTGATGAGGGTAATTGAGGAATGATCAGGGTGTTACAATGGAATACTGCCAGGGGAGGGGAGGGGAATATATATGTTGTGGTGGAATCCCACTGGAGGTACTGCAAATGGTGGAGATGATCCTTTAAATGCGGAGACTGGTGGTTGGAAATTGAGGACAAAAGGAATACAATTGTTGTTCTGGATGGTAAGGCAATGGGAGAGGACAGAAGTGCAGGAGATGCGTCAGACACATCCTATCAACCACAAAGGGGAGAAGGGGAACTTTAACAAGGAAAAGATAGGTTATGTTGGAAGCAGCAAATTGGCAAGTGGTATCATCAGAATAGCCGTGACTCAGCTGGAGAAACTGGGAGAATGGATGGGAGTTCTTACAAGAAGCAAGGCATAAGGAGGTGTAGTCAAGTAACTGTGCGAGTCACTGAATTTGTAATGAATACTAGTTACTAGTCTAATCCACAGGATTGAAGACTGAGAGGGAAGGGAAGAATCAGAGATGGGACAGGTGAAGGTGAGAGGTGTGCAAATTGGAAACAGAAGTCAATGAAAACCCAGATCGGGCAAGAGCAGGAGGTGGTAGTAATAAACATTGATGTACTGGAGAAAGAGATGGTGGGATGGGTGGGAGTGCTGGGTAGAACTGTAACAATAGATGGTTCCCAATGGGGACCCTCCACAAAGAGAAAGACCCATGATGTTGCTTAGAGAAACAGGCGAGTTAAAGGAGATGTTCAAAGTGAGAACAAGCTCATGCATGTAAAGGAGGAAGACAGTGAATGAAGACTCTTTTCCAAGAGGAGGCAAACAACCTCCATACCATCCTGATGGGGGATGGCCGTGTAGAGGGACTGGACATCCACGGGGAAGAGCAGGTGGCTAGGACCAGAAAATCGGAAATTGTGAAACCGAC